CTTTAAAATCCTCGTGGCTCCTGCTTTCTTCTTGCAAAATACAGTATTTCGATTTAGAATACGACCAAGTGCACGTGATCTTCACAAGTTTAAAATATATCCCTTCAGAATACGACCAATTGCGCGCGATCTAGAGACAAGTGACATGCATAGCCTATGTATATAAACAAACAACGGCATTAAATTAAAAGTACAAAAACTTAAAGTTAGGTTACAGTCTCATTTCTGGCAATAACACGCGCGTTGTTTTTATCGCAAGCGAACAGGAGTGAAGAAGTTTCCAAAATAATTATTTTGAGCGACAATCCAGGGTATATTTTAAGAAAAAAATAGAACTGCACATATAGGGATGTTACGAAGGCAACGGGGGTTTGACAGGGGGGTCGAAGCATTTTTTTACCTGCATATAAGTGACTGAATAATGGTGTGGTTGGGTGGGATAATTGGAGAAAGGCCAGACAAAGTCGATTTTGGGTGCGGAGCAAATATTATCAAGATCAAAAAATATCGAGACATCCTATTCGCCCCCCCCCCCCTCCCCCCAAGACAATGTTGTTACCATGCCACCAAACTACAGTGTTGGCTGAAAACGTTCACCCAACATTGTCAATATGGGTGGAGGGGGGAAATAGTAAGAAAAGATCGAATTATATGAGTGTAGATGTAATGAAAAAAAACGCTTTAAATACTTTTTTGCACGTGATTGTAGGGGTGTTTCCCAAAACAATTTGAATCTAGAGCCTCTTAGTTCTGGCAACGATTTGTTTGCCCATTTGTTTATCCGTCCATGCCATTGGAAATTTATGTTCCAATTACTTTTTAATTTGGCGTGGACGCGTCCATGCCATCAATGGCATGGACGAGTCCACGCAAAGTTAAAAAAGTAATTGGAACATAAATTTCCAATGGCATGGACGGATCCATGCCATTGTATATTTAGTTCAATTACTTTTTTAATTTGGCGTGGACGTGTCCATGCCATTGTATCTTTGTGTTCGAATGACTTTTTTAACTTGGCATGGACGCGTCCATGCCATGCATGTATATTAGCAGTTTTCCAATGACTTTTTAACTTCATGGACTTTTTGTCCATGTCGTTTGTTATGTGTTTTACATATTTGTGTTCCAATGACTTTTTAACTTGTCAATATTGTTGCTTTTGGAATGGTTACATGGACTTGTTTTGAAATTAAGGACATTTTGTTGCTAATTCTTGTGTAATAGTGTAAATAATATACATGTATTTTACTGTATGGAAAATACTTGTTATATTAATAAATTAAGCAACATTTTGTTGTATGAATAAAGTTTACTTGATTTCTGTACAATTTAGCTTGTGGTATTTTTCAAAATTATGCCAATTTTAAATATTATAACAAATACGTCCGAACAGTTTTTATAAAAATAATTGTTTGTCAGTTTTTGGCAATAACGAAGAGTTTTGACAAACTTAAATTAAATGGAACAACGCAAAATTATGTACGGATTAGCGTAATTCTCCTGAGAAAGAATCTTCTTTGGAAAAAGTGGGATTAATTGGTCACAAATGTCCAAACGAAATCTAAATTTGTGGCTAAAATCTCGTAATAAAAAGATTTTGTCTACAAAATTGGTAAATAGAATATCGCACTTAGCTCTGGAACGTGTTTCAAAAAAATTGTTTGAAAACATGTAAGTGGAAATCATGGATATTCAATATATAACAACCTTAAATTTGCATTTGAGGCAGCAATGAATATTAGGTTCTCCAACTCTAATCTCTTTTGGGGAGCTTCGCTCGCCCCAATTTTACCTTATTTTTCATTACCCCAGCACGTAAGTGATTTGTGAGAAAAATAGGAGGGTCTGGAGTCCTCCCCCAGAAAACGTTTATATTTTTGATGCTCAATTAATGACAGCAATTCTGGAATTTTCTGGAGCAACCACAAGGGTAACGAGTAAATTAAAGACTGTTTTAATTAAGGTTATTTTTGTTAGTTTGGTGACGGCACATTTGTGTTTTAAGAACTGCACAAATGGGTTTAGAACTGCACATTTTGTGTAGAACTGCACGTTAAAGAAAAACCCTGCGACAATCCGTCAAATAACGAGTTATTGAGGCAATATTACGAGCAGGAAAGAATACTACGCCGGCTAGCAGGGATGTTTCCAAAGTATATCAAAGGTATACTGTATCTATTTTATTGTTTTCCTCGATGGAGAGCGCGTGCCGTTTCTGTCTGCGTTTCCCGATGATATACTAACATCCTCAAGATTCTACTAAAACGTTTTCAAGACTGAAAGAATCCAAGAAGGATTGGAGATTGCTACCAACATATAGCTGCTATTCACCCCCCTTCACAGCGGATCCTTCAGTGAAATCGCTTATTGAAGCCCATCAATCGAGGTTTTAATGACTATATAAAATTCTCTTTAATGTCTTTAATTTCACTATCGGTATATACTGTTCTATCTATTTTATTTTCAAACTGAAACCCATATCATTATAAAGGCCTAAAGACATGACACTCGTGAGTAGTGAGTTGTCGATGAAAAAGTACTGAGCAATTTGGAGTCGGCAAAATGTTTGGGACTTTTGGAATTTGGATGGCAGTTTATATAGAAGTGTTATTGTCAGAGTGATATTCTTGGCTGTGCTTTACTGTCTTTGACTGTCTGCTCATGGACAACTTGTGCTCACATAAAACGTAATAGAAACACACCAAAAAATTTCTCTGATCAAAGTATATTTTAATTTGATCAAAGGCAAGCCAGCCCGCGGGTACCTGAGCTAGCTCGCTTGGCCGAGATCTAATGTTGCTAGATAATTTATACTAATATTCGTATTGTGTTTATATGAGAATCAGGCCGGCTTGCCTAAGCGAGATCTTGTTTAATTTGTGAAGCCCGAACAGAGCCCCAGATCTCTCCTAGGTGGGCTGGCTTGCCTAAGCCGCTGAATACGAATATATTGCTGTAAATGAAGACTTTCTCAACAGATTTTGATCTATAATTTTAAAAATTAATATTAATGTCTCTGTGAACAACTGTGACGGTTATAACCATAACAGATTTATTAGCTGTGATAGTTTCTTTCATCTGAGAAATGTTTTAATCAGAATTGACTCAAAAAGAAATTGGTTACTACTTTTAGCGTCTCTCAAGAAAGATGTTAATTAGCTATAAATTATGCAAAAATCATTGATCATGGGCTCCAGAAAATCTTTGCTCGCGCGAATTACAGATCGATACCCGCAAGTTTTTCTTCAGATCTTGTGAAAATAAGTATAAATCATTACACGCAAGTGTTTTTTAGCGTATTTTAACGTCTCCTTTAGGAGATCTCAGGCTTCGATTTTAGCGTAATTTTGTAGGCCGAATTACAAGGAGCAAAAACCGGTGTGCCGTCAAGTTACTGTCGTTTATCCACGATTTATTCAAATGCTCTTATTTTTTGCCACAGGGAACGCAAATTGTATCTTAACCTGCTGATCTACTTGGAATTTAGAAATAATCAGGCAATTTGACTCAGCGCGGCTCTACAATTTACTGAAATTCAACCTTCGAATTTGCTTGAAAATAGCTCTTCACGAGTAACATGAGTTTCGGCATCCAGAGAAGCCGTAAAAAGAATTTTGAAAAAATAAAGTCATTTTGGATAGTTGCATACCAATGCCTTTCAACCACTGATCTGAAATAAGACTGGATAACGCATCTATAGTATACGAAAGTGAAGCCGGAAGTCACTGGCCGCCACCCGATTCTGGGGCCCCACTTTTGTATAGATTTGTATTACAGACGGTAGTTTTTCGCGTTTTTTTGCCTTGGCTACGTTTCCGATCGGGCCAATTTTACAATCGCAACGATAGAAGCATACAAGAAGCTTTTTGAGCAAAAAATTTGGAGTATAACGCCGCGAAACGGGATTTACAACTCTGAAGGAGTAGAGAGCCTCAGACTTTGTTTATCAACACGAGCTCGGTTTGCTACTTTCATACAAAATCAACTCAAAATATACAAGAATTATTGTTACTGGACGAACATTCTTACGAAATTTGAAGAAATTAAGCAGCTACATTGTGAACGAAAGCGTACAGAGGTTAGACTTTGTTTATCAACACGAGCTAGTTTGCTATTTTCATACAAAATCAATTTAAAATATACAAGAATTACTGTTTACTGTACGAATATTCTCAGGAAACTTGAAGAAACGAAGCAGCTACATTGTGAACGAAAGCGTACTGAGGTTAGTTTTAAAATACCTTGAGGCTACTTTTATAATTAAATACGAATTTAATAAGGAACAGTTTTAAATGTCAATTTTGTCAAAAGCATTTCTAGGCGACTGGTCAAGAAGTTTTATATGTTTTAAAGTAGGGAGACAAGTGACAATGAAATATTTTTGATCCAAATTATAAACAACGCCTCAATATGTTATTTTAATTCATATAATTATGGAAGTAGCCTCGAAGTATTTTAAAACTAACCTCCGTACGCTTTCGTTCACAATGCAGCTGCTTCGTTTCTTCAAATTGCGTGAGAATATTCATCCAGTAACAATATAAATTCTTGTATATTTTGAGTTGATTTTGTATGAAAGTAGCAAAACGAGCTCGTGTTGATAAACAAAGTCTGAGGCTCTCTACTCCTTCAGAGTTGTAAATCCCGTTTCGCGGCGTTATAAGGCCATAATACTCCAAATTTTTTGCTCAAAAATCTTCTTGTATGCTTCTATCGTTGTGATTGTAAAATTGGCCCGATCGGAAACGTAGCCAAGGCAAAAAAGGCGAAAAACTACCGTCTGTAATACAAATCTATACAAAAGTGGGGCCCCAGAATCGGGTGGCGGCCGGTGACTTCCGGCTTCACTTTCGTATACTATAGATGCGTTATCCAGTCTTATTTCAGATCAGTGCTTTCAACACACAAAAATGAAAGGAAATCTATTTTCCGACGTCGAATTCACCGGACCGCTCTTAGCGGGACTGTCACTTAATATTTGAAACTCAACATGTACTTACTTCTGAGCTTTTTGTGTATCCAATCATCTGAAGATTCTTCATATGATACACATACATTCCCTTCTTGGTATTTTAGATCTAAAACATCCCTTGGTAAGTAATCTGTTGCCTGCATAAACCGCGTCTGATTCATCCAGTACTGACTGAATCTATAATCATCTCCTTGTTCCTGCCACTCAGACCAGTACTTATCGAAGTACGTATGATGCAGAAAGAACTCTGGCGCCCAAGCTGCCTTTGTATTACACATTGTACTGCGCCATCCAAAACCAGAGCAGTGCACATTATTGTGCCAACATTGGTAGACAGTCATCCATTCCATAAAATTGCTAGGTTTTAATTTGAACAAAATTGCAAGATGAAGAGCGCTCGCAATATCAGGTCTTGTATAATTGAAGTATCGTGTCACTTTCAAGGTGGAATCTGGCCCCGATCCAGGAACCATTTTCCATTCAGGTTGTTTAAACGGGCCAGTGTCCACTACATGATTAAACGTGGGATTTCCATTTCCCCCAAAAGAGTAATCATTGTCATCCCAAAGATTTATATCCCAAGGGGTTCCCATCACCATGCTCCAATCCCAGTAAACTAAAGTAATGTCAGGATCGATTTTCCTCAGAAGATTTTCATAACGTAGAATAAACCAACGGTGCCAAGGTAGAAAAAATACGCTACAATGTAGTGCTTTGCAAAAATGATACCCGTGAGTTTCTAGCAAATCGTAATATTCCCTTTGGTAACGAGGATGCGTTGATAAAGTTTTTATTGCATTGATGTATCGTAGTCTTTCTTTCTTGCTCAACCCCATGACATTTCTACGTATACGGTGCTCACAGGGAGATCCATCTGCCAAGTCTAGAGTTGTAAAAAATAGTAAACTGGCTAATTGTACTAGAACTATTCATGTTTTATTGATTTATTTCTTGTGCAAACGACATTCATTGCCATGGAATTGCATGAGAAGCATTTTTTTTTTTTTCAAATAGTGCTCGAGCGCTTGAATGATATTTTGAAGTAATCCGTTGTTGCATGCATGCATTCACCCAGTGAGTTTAAACATCCATGCAGGGCCGCTTTTTAAGAATTTGTCATTGCAGAAGCTTGAGGAAAAGGAGACCTAACTAAGAAGTGGTAAATGGGAAAAGTTGAAATTGTCGCGGGGAAGGGGTGGTTCTGGAGGTTCTCTAGCTCCCGGAAAATTCTGTCAGACTCAACTTTTGATATTTTTCATCCGCTAAAACACTCTTCTTAATTACGGCGTTATTCTCTCTTTTTTTGCTGATATTTTCCACAACAACATATTTCACTGGAGGAAAACAACATAGTTCACAACACATAGAAGAAGACAAAATACATGCTGGGGGGACAAGTCCCCCCAATTGTTGTATTAAAAGAGGCCCTGTATCCATGCATGTATCATAATTTTAAATCTCAGGAATTTAGTTAAAAGATTTTGAATCATTGCACAATTAATAACCTTAATTAATAACCTTATTGATTATCTAAATCATTCGTGAGTATTTGCAATGAATATAATTTTCACATCTTAAACGAAAAATCTGTTTGTATGGTACATTACTTTTTCGTTTGATTATGTTTCCCTCGTATTGTCGGCTGCGAATCCCAAAAGCTTTTCTCTCAACACATTCGCACTGCTCATTGCTCGGGCATTCTGCAAATAAAGAAATATCAAAATATTAAATATTGGTATAAATTTTGCATACCAAATGAGCTTATGCGCGTTCTGATTGGCTAGTTGACCAGGAAATCTGACCGAATAGTTACTAGCAGACTAGTAAATAATGCTTTTCCAAAAGAATGATTCGGCAAAAATATTTTGACAAAATTTTGAAAAAACCTTCCACAAAAAACGAAAGAAGTTTAACTTGAAATGTAGGATTCCTTTTTTTTACTGTGTCAAACATATCAACAACAGCAAACAATTTATTTTCACTCATAAAAAATATATACAGAAAGTTATTCTTATTACTATCAGCTGAGTGTGAAAGCCACCTGTAAATTTAATAACCATATGAGCTAATCGAGACAGGTGACCTTTATAATGAAAAGTAGTAATTTTATAGAGTTAGAAAAGTTAGATACGGACATGGGTTATCAAAAAATATAAATAACAGGCACAGAACACACATACGCACGATTTTTCTAAACCAATGAAAATGAATATGAAGGAATAAAAGGCTCAAGCAAAAAGCGAAAAGAAGTAACAGGGAGGAATCTCAAACAAATATCAAACTTTGAATCAAACAATTTTAGTAGCTATTAATTATTTGAAGTTTAATTTCTTTTTGAAATTAGGAAGAGAAAGATGTCTTAAAGATTCATCAATGCTGTTCCAAATCCTGATTCCAATGAATCTAATATTGAAAATTCCATAATTTGTACGGACTAGAGAAAGAGAGTATGTTGACGTAGATCCAAAATTTTCTGGGAGGGGCATGCCCCCAGACCCCTCTAGAGGATCGCACCTTCGGTGGTCGACTCAGCTGTCTCAGAGTCCTAGTTAAGCATGGTCTGAGCTGCTGCCCTATGACATATACTTATTAGTTAAACCATGCATACATATACTGTAGGTAGCTGCAGTGATACAGACAGGGCTGTAGCGAGGGAGGTATTGGGGGGTGGTTAAGACGCGCCCCCCAACTTTTTTAGAATCAACATATTCAAAAAATCGAGTTGGATAATAGTAGAACACAAAATTTTTGTTGTTAAACAGAGATATTATAAAATTGTATTGTCTGCACTATAAATTGTAAGCAAATTGTAAATTTCCTCGTCATACTAAAACGCTTTTTTGTGACCATCAGCATTCTGTCAAAACTTTCCCAAAGTCCAGGAAAAATTTTTCTGCCCCCCCAATAAACAAAAGCTCCCTACCGCACTGCTTCTGTAATATGTCTGTGCGTAAAATATGAGTATTTTTGTTTGTAAATTGCCTCTTCATTTTCCGAATAGCAAACACCTTCGTGTCTTAGTATGCCATGATATATTCGAAATTTATTTTCGTTATTCGGAAATTTTTGGCCTAAACCCCCCCCCCCCCCCAACTATACATGCTAGCTACCGCCCTGGATACAGACTTGCTGACTGGAACTTCTCCAAGTCCCCCGCTAATTATGTCATCTCCAGTTACACATCCTTAAAAAAGGCCCTGAACCAAATGTTATACCTGATAGCAATATGTATTATTAAGAGCAATGCATGAAGCTAGAAAACTCAACGTTAACTATAATTAAAGAATCTAAATAGTATAAGCTATTGAAAAAAAAAATGCTGCGAAAGAAAGTGTGGAAAAAAAATCGTACATGGTGATGGGATAAAAAAAAAACTTGCACATAACGATCCCAGAAAAATGGTCGGCCCCTAAGTTTGTCTTATTCGACGAATAATTGAAAAATAACTTCGTAACCGGGTGTGGGCTGTACGGGAAAATATTAAAAACACCTTGTTATGCTGTAACAAGCTATAAGTATAAAAGTAATTATTTTATTTTTATTTTATTTTATTTTATTTTACAAGATTCGCCAAACATAACAGACGTAAATAAGACTAATACTTTACAAAATTTACATACAATTCGGGCAGGGACTAGCCACAGAGATAATCTCCAATTATGGGGCCCCTCACAATAAGTTACAATATATAACATTAAAACAAATTATGCTAAAATGTCAACAACATGTCCTCACTAATAAACTATCAAGAGACCGAGTTGAGTGGCATTTGACGCACACGGACTTAAATGTTCTAGGATTGTCCGGGTTGTATATTTGTTCTAAAAGGTTTAAGTAGTAATTGAATAAAGAGATTTTAAAGTAAGCTAATGATCTTGAAGTGTCACGAATATTGCTAAGGAGAATGTTCCATACGCTAGGCGCTCTCACATAGAAATTGTTCTTGTAGCCAACTGTCCTGCATCGAGATACATTAAGAAGAATACCATTGACAGGGTCAGCGTTTCTAGTCGTCCGGGTGGTTGTTCGTAATGACACATTGACATCGTTGCTTAGAATACTCTTGTAAAGAAAAACTAAGTCTAGAAATTCGTGCCAATTTTCGGCTGGAAGACTACGTTGCTGCTTGTCCGGACGGTATAACAATGGACCTATCCAACGTTACACTAGACATTTGCAAGGACATGTATATAGGCATACGCACTGTAATGCATCGATATAAAACAGATTTCGGTTTAATTAATAGCCCTAAATTAAAATCTCCACAAGCGGAGGTCAATTATAGTGTTCCAGTTTAAATATTATCATTAATGATAAGGTTAATTCAAAGAGCGCGTTAAACTGGATAAGCACGGGAATAGAACTTATGGTGTGCTCTGCACATGCGTATATCTAGGATAAAATCCCACAAGCGCAAACGAAACAATTTCTCTATAAAATTGAACTGAAAGGTCTCACACGGACCGTTTTTGGCAGTACGTGCTTCAGGCACCAGCCGAATCTAATTTTATTGGATCAACAATACAATCAAGACAGACAAGAAGAAGATGAGAAGAACAGACAAAGTCGCAGTGGAGGAAGAACAAGAAAAGTTGGTCAACGATTTCTGCCCAATGACTTAATTTAATAAGCATTTTTGATATCTTGAATATAACATGGAATCAGTCAAAGAATTCTAGTCCACGTTTTCCGAATCTAGCCACGTTTTACAACAAGTGTGATTCTTCGTCCCACTTGCGAACATAGCTTAAGAGGCTGTTTATATGTTTCCGCTTACCCGGGATTCAATGAAGTGTGACGTAGTTTGAGCAATTGAAATTAGTCGCACTTCATGATCTACCAAAATTGCTTGTAACAAATTGTATGAAATTCCATGTTTGAGCCAGAAACGAATGTTGTTAAATGCTATTAATCGTCTTCTTCCACTACATAACTTCTAGCACATTCCTAATTTCGTTTAAACCACATTAAAGTTATTTAACTTTTGTTAATAGGGCTAAAACATTTATTTCAATTACTCAAAATACTTCACACTTTATTAAATCCCGGGTAAGCGGGACCATATAAACAGTCTCTAAAAGTGGGTTGGGGAGGGGTGAGTTCAAAGGAGCTCTGTCATTTTTTTATGATTATCGGGGTGCAACACTCGATCTTTGACCAAAAATTGTCATTTTGTTAATTAATAAACATGCTGTGCTTACGCGCTTCATCACGTTCTTTCTCATAACAGAGTTCATTCAATTCTTCGAAGAAAGTGCCCTGGGTTGCTTTAGTTAATGTCAATAGAACAATAATCACAATGACGAGCCGCAATGATGACATCGCTTCCTTGATTATGACAAAATGTCTTCCTTGAAAAAATGATAAAACATAGCATTCGTCAAAATAGATAATTAATGGAGAAGAATCATGCTTCCTTCATAGATATAAATATCATATTTATCGTTTTTGTGTAACATGCTCTAAATTGCTGCATTGGTCATAATCTCGAATACGTTCAAATAATATATTTCCACCATTCAAGATTCCTATGTCAAATGTTAAATATTCTCAGCTCTAAATTATTTTTCAGTGAGATAAAGTTGTGAAAATTTTGGAAGGCGTTACAAAACCCACGAAAATAATAAAAATAGGCCATGTGTTCTAGGTTGAATGGTTGAAAACAATCCGAAATGCTAGTGTGGATGCAAACTTGTATTCATTTTAAATACAAAAAATGAAGAGGGATTGGAACTGTAATGGGATTAGTGTGGACATGCGTTGGTTTAAATCTTTATTAACTTTTTATCTCTATGCTAAACTGTAACTACGGTATAATTTCACTCATATTCGAATATACACATAAGGACAAAGTTACAAAATGTATACATATACAACATGGTA